TAATTTTCTTTGTAACAAGGAACTGTAGGTGTGAGTTTCGTAATTGTTGTAAATAGAGTTGAGGCTTGAGTTTCCACGTTTGGTAAATTTTGCTTCATTTTCTTCAAATTTTACAAATTTCTTCTATGGTTTAGATAATATGTCGATAATTGTTCTACGGGTGTCTTTAATTTGTTTGTTCGTGCAACTTCTTATTTATTGAGCTCTCATTTAATTATTTATCTTATAATGGTGAATATGTTTACTTGTATTATAGTTGGACTAAATCGTTGTGTTAATGTTTAAACAAGGGTTTAAGAGTCTGTTGTTTTTTATGGACTAGTTATTTGCTTGAAATAAAGATATCTATAGTGATTTGAAATTCTAAAATTGACATACAATTCGTACTTACAATACAGGTCTTTTTTTATGTCCTATAGTGCAAAGAAATCGTCATTTGATTCTTTTGAGTAGCAGTGTCTGTTGTAAATATTTTTGACTTACAGGAATCAAGTATAAGAATGACTGAGACATTTATGCCCAGTCAAGCAATTCCTTTATATCTTTTAAAAGTGCGTCGCTCCACTGTCATCATTAATGTCGCTAAGGTTGGCTGAATTCAAGGAGGTTTTAAAGAAGAAGTAGCGGTGGTTCTGTTATGTACGGAGAATAACTTTTGTAGTAAGGATATATGTCATAAGAACACGGGCAGTATCCATTGCTGTAAGGGGTGTACACATAATAGCTCTGAACTGAGGAACCAAAGGTGGCGATAAGGACAAGAGAGAAGATGCTGAAAGTGGCAGCGAATTAAATACTAATATATGCTAAAGATGTAGTGGTGGTAAAGTTACGTGTTGAAGGCTTGTAGTTTTTAGCTACAAATCACTATTTCCTGAGTTTCGGTGGTATTTTTAGGAAACTGGGAATAATGACTCTGGGAATAGGAGTTGGTTACTTACAGTTCCGAGAACATGTTGAAAATTCGTTGACTGATTTGGTTGAACGCTCGCAAATGACGATGATTTGCACGTTTAATGCTGTAGTTTATATAGCTGCATTTGAAGACTGGTTAAAAACTGCTAAAAGCGTTGAAGATTATCATAGCGTTTGCAAATACTGCATGCGTTCATTAGCATTTTTGTAAAAAAATCGGAATGTTCTTTAGAGAAATACTTCAAATTAATTAAGAATTTTCTTTACGAAGTAACTTTTATCTTGTTAATTTTTTTTTGAATGGTATTACAAGAAAAAGAAAATTATACAGAAATTGGGCATTATCTGTACTTTTTTGGCAGTCTGTTCAAAAGCTGACAGATGTTTGAGCAAACACATATTTTCAGGTACTATACACCGAGTATATTCAACTGTATAAATCATTAATTTTAACAGATTAGCATACATTTTGTTACATTACATTACTTTTGCTTTAATGTCTTTTCAACATCTGTTTTTTTTTTCAATTTTTCTTGAACGAAACTAAATTTTGGAGGTAAAAAAAGTTTTTTGCAGGAACTGCGAAAAGCGTAGTTGCAAATCATTCAACAGTGCATCAAAACTGGTTGAATTTTTACGGGTTAAAGTTTATGACGATAGTTGTATAAATCTCAGTGTATCAATTATGACAAACTATTGCTTTTTTCTTGAAAAAGGGCTAATCAGAAAAGGGGAAAAAAAAGAAAACATTAAGTATGTCATGAGAAGCTTTTTGTTGCATTAAAAGAAGTTTGGGTAACAGAGAAACAACTTTATACTTAAAATATTTGGTTAACAAGTGCCTAATTTGTAGTTTAATATATCTATGGTTAAAAAAATCTACCAATTTGAAGAATGGTTTTAAATAATTCAGAAGATATCTAGCGGATTATAAAAGTTTCACTGAAAACTCAAAAAGTAAATGATAAAAAAAGGTACATTGTAAATTGTGGCAGCAGAAGTGACTTATTCATTTTTTTCTTTTTTTTTGACTACTTTTATCTGCAGCGATTTCTGCTGCACCAAGCCACTGAGGTGATGATAGATTTATATGGGCTGGTTAATGCTGAAAAAATTGCTAACTGTTTTGCATAATTTTTTATTTTTTAAATGCAGATTTTTACATAAGAAATTTAATTTACTTCTTATTGGTTTCTAAATTTCAAAAACATTTTTTTTTCTTGATTCATGTCAGTTCTTGAAGTTTTGATCTATTTAACTTTCGTCACTGTATATAGCAGAATTGCTGAAGGAGTGTTCACAGCAATGCTCTTTATATCAGAAAAACATTAAAATACAGTTTAGTACTTACGAAACCCAAAAATAGTGATTTAGTTATTTTAATTATTCAGTTTAGCTGACAAATTACAACCGGAAATTTTTTCAAAGAGCAAATCAACTGCATTTAGTCATTCTAAAATTACAAAAAAAAATCTTTTTTTAATGATTACATTAATTATATTCACTACTTTTTTATGTATTAAAATTGACAGAAGTTATACAGACTTTTTTTTCATTGTTGATAATCAATATCTTTTAGCAACGTTTATACCAAAGAACAATGTTGGGCTTCCAGTGGTGAACACATTTTAACAATTGACTGAAAAAGAAGAATGTCTGAAAATAGTTTTTTTATCTTCGTTTTCACACTTATTTTTTGTTGCTCTAAAGATATGTTTAACTTTGATGTACATTTATGTTAGCAATCTTTCAACTAATTACTTCTTTAAACTCAGTGATTATTTTTATGGTATTATAACCACAAAGCTGTAATCGATTTAATCATTTTATTTTTCTATACAAACAGATTAAACAGGTAAAGGAAACTTTTCGAAAGACATCAGCAGAACAATAAGAAATTTAATGTTTCAATTGTTACAGAAACTGAACTTCATACAGTTCACATTTTTGCCAGGTAAGGAGATGGTGCTACTGCTGGCTGTACAGCGGCAACATCTCGTGCTGCTATCGCTGGTGCTTCGACAGCCGATCCCCAGACATAGTTATAAGCTGGACCATAGGCTGCAGCATAGTACGGTGAGCTATAGTAAGAACTATATGGGTAGTAGCTGTAGCTGTATGGATTGTACAAATAGTATCCCTGAACGGATATGACAACAGTAGCGAGGATTGCGATGGCTATGGCGCTAAAATGAAGCAGTGAATTAAAATTGGATAGGTGGGATTTCAAAAATATTAGTTTTTAATAATTTTATTTAGAAAAAAGAAGGTTTAAGATCTAATTTTTTATAAATTTTGGAAAGATAATACCTCTTGATGAAGGACATATTGAAGGTGTTGCGGAAGCAGCTGATAGTTGTTGAGTGAGTTAACGGGTTTATCGGTAAATGGTAAGCAGACGAATTAATTTGATATATATAGGTAATATAAGGAACCAGTTTATCATTTGTTTACCGTTTTCTTTAATTTAAGTAAAGTTTGTACAAATATTTTTCTTATACATTAAGGAGTTGCGGACAAAAATTCATGCATTTGACACTTATATTGATAAAAAGAAAAAACTAGGGACGATTTTTTATTTCAGTTATTACAGTAACAGTTTTCTTTTTTCTTTTTTTTATCACTTTTATACGTTTTAGCTGCGTAGAGTGATGAAAGAATTACAACACAGATTGTCGAGATGTAAAACAAAAAAAAAAAATTTTTGTCTTTTTTTTTGTCTTTGATCTTCAAATAAATCAACAAGCAAACAGAATGAGAGGAAAGAAGTGGAACAACATTGATAAAAAACCACAACAAATAGTGGTTATTCCGATGGCTTAGTCGGTAGTTGGGTTTTTCGGATTTGTTGAGAACAATCTTTTCTCACCCTGTTCATAACCGGTGTTTATACTTATTAAAAGTACATTGTGCATATGGTTGCTTAGTTGCAAAGAAAAATTATTACCTGTCATCAGTGAAGTAAAAAATGGAGGATTTAGTGCCAACAGTATTGCAACTGTTACTGTCATTGAATTTGCAGAAGCGATAGCAAAATTTTGTGTTCACATTCGTTGTTTAATAAACTGCATTTGTATATTTCTGTGTGTTTGGGTACGGTGTTCTTTATTCTGGTTATTATTATTATTATCACCACTTTTTGTTTTTTATTTTTTTTGTATAAAGACTTAGACGGAACGAAATGATTAACTGATTGTCAAATAAAAGCACAGGAATGTTTTGCACCATTTTTGTCCTTTTTTCGCAGTATTTTTTTTATTATTCGGCAGCAATATTGGCAGCATCAGATTATGTAATAGTTTTTAGAATTTATTAATACAAAAAATTTAATGTTGGTGCAGAATCGCTTTCTAATAAGCAACAAAAAACAATGGTAAACAAAAGTTGCAAAAGAAAATTTATTGAATATAAAGAGAGGTAGACTTTATCAGTTAAAATAGTAGCTAACTTAGGTTGTTAACGATATAAAGTTTGAGCATTGAACAACTAACTGACTGAGCAACAACAATTTCAGTAGTAAATAGCTGACAATCGATCACTACAATAGAATAAAGGTCTTCATATAGTTGCATATAGTTACATTCATATAGTTGCTATATACAACTTTATAGAAAGGTATTAATTGTCAACAAAATATCAGGTATTTATTTTGGAAGAGAAAATTGTTTAGGAAATTTTGTTTGTCTAAAAAAAGCCATATTTAGATAACTGAAGTATGAAGAGTGCGAAAAGAAAAGGAGGAAAATTGCCTTTTTTTTTTAAACAGTTTTTTAGGATTTTAGTATTTAGAAACAATGAGACATATGGAAAAGAATATTTGTTGGTTTGTTTTTAAGACTTGAATTATAGTGTCAAAAGAAGTTTAAGCAACAGCAACAATAAAAACAAGTAACAAGAGCATTTCAACGACGTAGAAATACTGCATTAATGGCATAAATATACCTCTCCGTTTAAACCTTAGATTTCGTGATCGATTTTGAAGTGCACGATTTGTCCAAAAAACAGCTTCATATAGACTTTCGACTGGTCGATCAATGTAAAAACTGTAAGTTTTGGCAACAGCTTCAGCATATTTTGGATTGTTCAGCATATCCAGTGTAATGTTTAACAATCCTTCTGGAGTTACTGTATGCTTGTTGGCAAAACGAGAAAAACCTACAATAATCACCAAATCAGTCAAGCAACCTATAAACGTTGTTGATTAGATTTTTCAAAACAAAAAAAAAAAACTTAGGCTCATAAAGGTGTACCTAATTTACAACCGAGGGCTGCATTATGTGCTTGTTCAGCAAACAACGGGAAGCATATATTTGGTGTTTTCGAACATATTGTCTCTTTGAAGCTGCAGTTATTGCAGTTATTTTTGAAAAAAACCTATCAGCACTTTGAATTCAATCACTAATATTTTTTTAAAAGATAAACAGCTAAAGTTTACACCTTTTGAGGCCACAGTGCGAGATAAATAGTCGAGTCTTTGGATGTTGCAGCACATCGTATTGCGGTGCCCACTTTAACACTTTGACATTTTCCGGTAAGGTGCCGAATTCATTTTCACCAGAAACAAAAATAAATCTACAACTTTTTTGGGTGTTGACAAAACATCGGAACAACTAAAATCATCATTCTGCTCGCTAAAATGATCATTACAAACCCACATTTACTTTTGGTCATCTACTGAGAAAAGACCTAGAAATATGTAGCGTTACCTTCTATTTCGCCAAGCCTAATTTATTGAAGCAATTGAAAAATCAACCTGTAATCCTTTAATTCGGTCATTATATACCGGAATGAATCAATGTGATTCTTTTCTGCATATTTCCATTTCACAAATGTTCCAAACGCAATGTAAACTGTACCCTTTGAATTTACATCCTCAACAAAGTGTCGAATATCGTCAGGTAAAATTTTGCTTATTGCACAGTGATAGCCAACTTGTATTACATCAGTAGATACTAAATAAAAATTATTTAAAATTTTTTTATACTGTTTACTGCCACAGATATACAACGACAAAAAAATTGTAATTTTATAGCAACAGAGATTTTAAGTCTCTGCTATTATTAGCCGAGTTTAACTTGCTTGGCTGAGGAAATGCTAATGAATTGATTTCCTCCTGGAAATTGTACACAGAATTTGCCCAAAGCGTTGAAAAGGAAAAATCTTTCACACCAAGGCGTGTAATACCCTAAAAAATGACTGAAGGATATAAAGTTACTATTCAGCAACTGGCTAGTAATTGGCGTTGTAAATTCAACAATATTTTTTGTTTCTTACCTCACTGTATAAGTTTTCTGATGTCAGTTTTATGTGAACAGCTGTTCCGATTTCTTCAATTGCGGTTATTAGTCGAGTTAAAAAATTTCTGTGATCATAATTAATTTGTTCATCAATTCGATGATGAAAAGGTGGTCTTGTAATCGCCGAACGTTCTTCAAAAGAGTAACAACTATTGAACAGTTAAGAAAATTTTTGATAATTTTCATGAATAATTTTAGTAATTTAGAAGCAGCAAAAAAAAAAAAAAAAAAAGAATTATCAAACAGATAGTCAAATTTGTGGTTGTTCAAAATGAATTGACGGTTTATTTTTAAACTGTACTGGTTTGAAGCAACATTTTCAGTCATTCAACAGAACTTTATTCACTGGGAATAGGACTTGCCAAGTGCTTGTTCCCAGCCAAATCCATGCATCAGTATTGTAGTACTGAAGATGATAAATGGTTTCTGATGTTTGCGAGCATTTTCTAAAGCAATACCGTAGCTTGTGTACGAAAACAGTTCATCCGTAAATACCAAGTCCCAAGTTGTATTCAAAATTTGGTTAATCTGTTAAAGTGATGTGATAAATTTGCGTATTCAGTGTAATGCACACAATAAAAAAAAAAGACTTGAAAAGCCACAGTAGGTGATAAATGCGGTGAAAGTTAGTTTCCGATGCTAAGAACAAATGGTGAATAAAAATGAAAATTTTTTTTGAAACCTCGACTTGCTTATGTACTAAGATTTCTTGAAGAGCAACATCGCCAAGATGGAACACATTCGAAACAGTCTAAATAACACTGTAAACAAATTTTACATGTCAGCTGAATAATTAAAATTAGCAACATATTTGAAGTTTTTTTTTTGGCTTTAATAAGCCAACTTACGTCTAAAGCTGGTTTCCCTGTCCATACTCTGCTAGCTGGATCGTCAAAGTGATGATCAGTGATATTTTTTGGAAGCGATATAAAATGACCTTGAATGCAATCCGGAAACCGGAAAGGTTTTTTACTGTAGGTAGTTTCAAGAAAATGAACTTCATGTCCAGCTTTGCATAGTCTTTAAATGAACAGTTATTTGACAAAAAAAAAAAAAAAAAGGTAACCAGAATTTTACAGAATTTTTTGATTTTAGAATTTAATAATTGAACTTACGCTTTAGCTACCGGAAGCATACTGCCGACATGGCTGGGCGATGAATGCATTGCATGGAACAGAACTTTTGCTGCATCAGTATCCAATAAATTGATCACTGCTATTGTTAATATTACTCTTACAGTTACCATTACAGTAGTTAGTTGTTTTTACTGTAAACACTTATGCAGTTAATCAATTTAATGTGTAAATTTTTTTAAGTGTAAACTTGCAAAAAAAAAAAAAAAAAAAAAA